TCTCTCTCTCTCTCTCTCTCTCTCTCTCTCTCTCTCAGCTCTTCCTCTAGCATTTTCAAGTCACGTTTCTTCCCTGTTCTATTCTGGACGGTCTGAGTCGATCAGGGGTTGGGGTCACTTGTTATTTCCTCGCTTGCCTGTTGTTCCGGCGTTGTCTTCTTCCTTTCACGCTCTACTCGGCGCAACTCCTTCATGACCAGAGCAGCATAGGCATTAATCGCCTTTCACGCTGCTTCTGACCAAAATATCTGTTCCACCAGGTTTTCCGGCGTCAGACGTGTGTCTAACTGGTCCTCGATGCTTCGAGAGGCATCGAAACGCGGGCACTCAAAGAATGCGTGTTCAGCGTTCTCGACACCAGCACACGTTGGACAGTCCGGAGCATCTTCATAATTAAATTTATAAAGATACCTCCGGAAGCAGCCGTGTCCTGAGAGCACCTGAGTGAGATAATAGGTGAGCTCCCTGTGCAGTCAGCTCACCCATTTCTCCACATTTGGGATTAGCCGGTGTGTCCACCGTCCGTTTGTGGAGGTATCCCACATCCTTTGCCAGCAATTGATACTGGTCTCTCTCGTTTCGATCTTGGACTTCGCCGACTTCTCCTGCTGGTAGAGCGCCCTCCGTTTTTTGGCCAGCAGCTCAATTGGCAGCATTCCCGTGATGACGTTGATGGCGTCCTCGGAGACTGTGCAATAAGCACAGGCTACCCTCAGGGCATTGACCCTATAGGGCGCTGTAGCTTTCCTGCGGTACTCCTTTATCAGCAGTGCATCAGCCCATATGGGTATACCATAGGTGAGCACCGAGGTAGTAACCGACGCAAGCCGCTGTCTCCTCTTCTGTCTGGGGCCACCAACATTGAGCACAAGCCGAGACAATGTAGTCGCCACCACAGAGGCTTTTGTGCTGATTTGCTCTACATACTCTTTAAAATTGAGCTTAGCGTTGAGGATCACTCCAAGATACCAAATGTAGGCTGAGATGTGATCTTGTTTTTGCCGACTCTGAGCTTAACTATCTCAGTCACCTTCCTGCTAGATACGAGGAGGGCCTCCGTCTTGTGTTCTGCAAGCTGCAGTCCGACAGAAGACATCCATTTCCCTATCTCCTCGAAGATGGCGATGATTTGCTCCAGTAATTTTGCTACTATTTCCACCGCTACGTCGTCTGCAAAGGCTACAAGGCACACTTCACGCGGGAGTCTCAGCAACAAAAGCGCATTGTACATGATGATCCACAGAAGAGATCCCAGTACATAGTCCTGAGGAACTCCTCCAGTCACTCTATACGTCTTCGGCCCATTTTCTGTGTCGTACATGAGAAATCTGTTACACAGGTAACTCGCCACTATTCTCCGAAAATACCATGGAACATTGAGCCTTTTTAGGGCCTCCATGATGCACTTCCATCTCGCTAAGTTAACGCTTAACCTGCACACTTCATAGGAATCACATAGCCTGCACATGGGGTATGGTCTACCCCAGCCACAAAAATGATCATTAAATTCACTGAAATATTATTATGATAACTTGAAAAACTTTATATATACTATTTGAAGCATCTATAAAAAGACGTCATAAATAGTTTTTTTAATGATTTTTCAATTTTAAGTTAGTGAAAAGAATTTCCTAAAAAAACGATTTACTTAGCTATATCTTTGTGCAAAAATGCCTGGGGTAGATTTCATCCCACAGTGCAGGTTAAGGGTTAAAGGCATTCTTTATATCGAGGGTGGCGATCAAGCAGTACTGCTTTGATCCCCTCGTGTATCTTTTCCCCGAGATAGCTTCTTTGTCTCTGTTCACCACCTTGTTAATCGCATCTAAAATAGAGCGCGATCTTCTGAAGCCGTACTGGTCCATCGCCAGCAAAGAGTCAACGACCTTCTCAATACTGTTATGGATGATCCGCTCAAAGATTTGCCGGCTGTGTCCAGCATGCACAGTGGACGATAGGAGGATGGTTCGTCCGGGGGCTTTTTTTCCTTAGGGAGGAGCACTAACCTCTGTCACTTCCACTTCTCAGGGAATGTTTTTTCCTTGAGACACGCATTATACGTGTCCAGGAACATCACTGGTGCTGCCTTGACGGCTGTCTTCAGAGCCACGTTTGGGATTCCATCCACGCCGGGAGCTTTGTTGCCCACCTTTGATGTTGCGGCGAGCAACTTCTCTTCCGTGATGGGCGGAAAATCCTCATCGGTGCTCTCCACGATGTCGTAATTTTCCTCCTGCTGTTCCAAAAAGAAGGTAGACACAATCCTCTCCAGCAGCTCCGGGCAGGTAAGCGGTGGCATTGGCTGGCTTTTTAGCCGAGTCATTACGACCTTCTACGGTCTGCCCCACGGATTGTTGTCGACTTCGTTAAGGAGCTCATTCCAGCTACCCATGTGTGTGTGTGTGTGTGTGTGTGTGTGTGTGTGTGTGTGTGTGTGGATGTGCGTGGGTGTGGGTATGGGTGTGTGTTTTTTTTTCTTGATTTGAGGTAGGAAAACACGGTTAAGTGTTCCTGGCAAGATGTTCTGCCAGGATATGTCGGACTCGGATTTGAAGACCCCCTACCGACTAAAAACCTCCTCAGCCTCGTCCCCCGCGGGATTGCCGCTAGGCACTGCTTCACGGGGGGAGGATCTAGCTACTGCTTTATCTGGCGGTCAAAGTCAAGGCTTCCTATCTTCAGCTCTCTCGGCTTAGCGCTCGATCCCTTTCTATGCAACGGAGCTTCTTGAGGACTTCTGTCGCGAACACGCTTGTCGCTTCCCAAGCTGTCTTTGATGACAACATGGCTCTTATTAAAGATTCTGGCCGTATTTCTTGATCAAGAACAGTTTCCAAAATACTGCGTGAAGATTTAAACCGAGAACATGTGAAAAACACGTGTTCAGAATCTTCACTGACTCCGGGCATTCTGGTGAAGTGCCGTGCTTGTATTTAAAAAGATATTCTCTGAAGCACCCATGCCCTGAGATCATCTGCGTCAAGTAGTAGTTAACCTCTCCGTGATCGCGGTTCAACCAGACCTCTACTTCAGGGATGAGACGGTAAGTTCACCTGCCGTTAGTTGTGTTGTTCCACCTAGTTTGCCATCGCCGTATGCTGTTTCGCCGTTCATCTGCTTTGAGCTCTTCAGGTGTTAGTGCTTTGGAACTTTTCCGCCGGTAGAGAGCTTTCCGTTCTTCAGCAAGTATGTCCACTGGCAACATCCCGGCTATGATGCAAGCCGCGTCCTCGGACACTGTTCGGAAAGCGCTGGTTACTCTCAGAGCACTAAGTCGATGTACTGGAGCTACCTTCCTTCTTGATTCCTGCGTCCTGAGTGTATCGCCCCATATGGAGATTCCATACGTAAGCACAGACGTGACCACGGACAATAAAAGTGTCCTCCTCCTCTGCTTTGGGCCCCCTAGATTAGGCATGAGTCGTGCTAGAGACGCTCTAACCACCGATGCTTTGGCGCCCACGTGTTCTGCCTGTTGTCTGAAGTTGAGGCAAGCATCAATCATCACCCCCAGATACCGGATGAACGGCTGGGAGGTTATCTCATTTGCTCCGACTCGCAGAGTGATGGTTTCCAGCTGCTTCCTGCTAGTAATGAAAACTGCCTCGGTCTTGTGTTCCGCCAGCTTCAGGTCAACTGTGTCTATCCACTGGTTGATTCGCTCGAAGGTAGTATCAAAAGCCAGGTTTATTTCTTCCAGGTGCTTCGCGACGATCACTATGGCCACGTCATCTGCATACGCCACAAGCTGGACTTCCCTTGGCAACATCAGCTTCAGCAACCCATTGTACATGACATTCCACAATAGTGGACCCAAGACTGAACCCTGCGGTACTCCTCCAGTGATCATGTATTCCTTCGGGCCGGCCTCCGTGTCATATTTTAGGACCCGATCGGTGAAGTAGCTTGCTACCATCCTTTGTAGGTACCCAGGAACATTTATTTTGCCGAGGTCCCATGATGCAGTCCCACTTGGCGGAGTTAAACGCGTTCTTGATGTCCAGTGTTGCCACTAGACAGTATTTTTTCGCTCCTCCCTTCCATCTGGTTCCAGCTATAGCTTCCTTGGCTGTTTGGACGACAAGGTCAATCGCATCCAGGGTAGAGCGGCCCTTCCGGAAGCCATATTGGTTGTTGGACAGCAGCGGTTCGACTATTGCTTCAATCCTCCTGTGGATAATGCCCTTAAGTATTTTACCCGCTGTGTCCAACATGCAAAGCGGGCGGTACGCTGATGGGTCGTCTGGAGGGTTCTTTCCTTTGGGCAGAAGTACCAACCTCTGCTGTTTCCACTTCTTAAGAAAAATACCCTCCTTAAAACAAGCATTGTACACATCCAGAAACAGTTTATGGCGCTGTTTTGATGGCTTTCTTGAGGGCGACATTCGGAATTCCATCCATGCCCGATGCCTTCGTATTCCCGATTCTGTTGCAGGCCTCCATCAGCTGTTTTTCTGTGATCAACGGTATTTCCTCGATTTCTTGCAGGTCCGTCAGGTGCTGTAGTTTTGTTTGTTCGGGAAACAACGCCGATACAATCGCCTCAAGAAGTCTGGGACACGTGGGGGTCGGCATTGATTGGTATCTCAAATGGGACATAACCACCTTATACGGTCTACCCCACGGGTTACCCTCTACTTCATTAATAAGCTCATTCCAGCATTTTCTTTTGCATCCTTTGATGGCTTTGTTGAGTTGTCGGCGTGTCACTTTGTACTCTTCCACCAATTGCGCAGGGTTTGCACTATTTCTGCCTCGCTGCGAAGCCCCTCTTGTGGCAAGACATTTTTTACGGAGGGCAGCGATGTCATCATTCCACCAGTGAACTGGTGGAAGGTGATTCGTTCCGCGTTTTCGGGGCATAGTGGCGTCACAGGCTTCCGAGACTCTTCTCATCATGTCTTCTGACTTCTTTTCAGCACACCCGTCTCCGGTTTTATGGTAACTTAGGGTTACCTTGAAAGATTCGGGATCGAAAGAGCTCACCTTCCAACCTATTTGGTTGGTTTTGCTGTTCACCCTTCTCGTGTTCTGGCCAGTGGACACTTTCCACAGAATGGCACAGTGGTCGCTGGCGATGTAAATGTCCGTCACCTCCCACGAGTGACTTCCTTTAACGAGGCTACTACTAACAAATGTAAGGTCCACTATGGAACTTGCTTCTCCCCTTACAACCGTTGGTTTATTACCGCTGTTGAGCAGGACCACGTCCAGAGTGGACATCGCTTCCAGCAGTGCTTTTCCTCGGGCATTAGTCGCTTTGCTGCCCCAGTCCGTAGCCCAGGAGTTGAAGTCACCGGCGATTGCCACATGCGTGTGTTGTTTGGCATCTTCAGTCAGTCAGTCAAGAAAATCCACGAACTCGTCGAGAGTAAGGCTGAGTGAGGCATAGCAACTGTAGAAGTGTATTCCTTCCAACTCTGCTACCACAAAACCAGTCTCTGTGTTTTTGGCAACGCTCTGGAATGGGTACTTGCCGCAGGACCAAATGACTGCCCCGAGGTGCTGTCCGATTCCCAAGGTTTTGTTGAGAGGTGTCTGTTTGGCTCCGAGATCAATGCGACATCTGGCTTCAGTTCGCGCACGGTTTGCATGAGCAAATCATGCGCAGCCTCGCAGTGGTTGAGGTTCAGTTGTAGTACTTTCAATTCCATACTTAGCTCTTTTTACGCTTTTGTGCTTCTTTAAAGACTGGGCATCTGCTGTTACCGGCTATGTGACCACAGTTTTTTATGTCGCTTTTTTCGACGCAGAGCGTGCATCGGGCATCTTTTTTGCATGACACAGTTTTGTGACCTTCTTCTCCGCATTTGGAACAGCAGATCGGTTCACTTCACTCTTGCACCTCGTAGCCAGATGTCCGTAGTGCCAGCATCTAAAGCACTTGGTCAGTCTTGTCACTGTTCTTATCCGGCAGTTGACCCAGCTGATCTTGATCTTGCCGTCTTGTCCCAGTACCTTCTCTACCAGTGCTGCCGCCAAAGTCACTACGGCAGTCTGGGTACCTCCGTAAGCCTTACGCAGTGATTTGAGTGCGTCTAGCGATATTTCTTCTGCTTCACCCACCGCTTTTTGAAAAGCTGCCAGTACTTCATTCTTCGTGGTCATTTCATCAAGGTCTCTTATTTCGACATCTTCTTGTGGTTCTTTGCTGATGACTTTGGCATCATCTCCGACGATGGCGTTGATGGTTCTTTGCAGACCATGACCTTTATCTGTGTTCTCCTTTAAGAGGATGATCAACAGATCTCCAGTGGCCGTCCTGCGAATCTTGTCGATTGAGGCTCGGACTTGCTCTTCAGGTACTTTTTTCTTGACACGACTAAGTATCTCAGAGTATTTCTCTTTTTCCTTCGGGCGAACTATCAAAACATTAGGCCTGCTCACTGGCGTTCTTGGCTTCCTGCGTTGCAGCTTCTTCTCCTTTTTGGATAACACTATCTGCCAATCCGTTATCTTCGTGTCGGGAAGCTGTGTTACTTCCTTAACGGATGGAGTTGGCCCTGCTTCCTTCTTCTTCTTCTTTTGGTTAGACGATTCTGATGACCGTCGTTGCCTCCGTTTGGCTTTGCGAATTTCGCGATTGTTTCCAGTAGCAGATTCGCAGTCAGCATCTACCTCAGTGTCCACTGTCGTCGTCTCCGTCGCGGTTCTGACTCGTGTTAATGTCGGTGTACTCACGGTAACGGGAGTCATAACCTCATGTTGAGCGACTTGTGTGTCTTCCAAAGCTTTTAGCATTTTAAAGGTACTACCAATACTGGCTACCTTGGTTTTAATTTTCTTATGCTTGTTAATCTTCGGTTAGACGAACTCATGCAGCTCGTTGATGAGTTTGCCAAGACGGTCCCATGCTTGGGTCCTCATTTCAGCGCTTAAAACAGGGGCTGTTTGTAGTGCACGGCACCCCGTGTTACCTCCTCTCTCTTTTTCATTTTGTTTTTTATTTATTTTTGTCTCCATTCTGTTCCCACAATTACCTAGGGAAGTATAGGTCGTTTCCAACAGAGCCCCGGTTGTTGGAGCAAGGCCACTTCAATACGCCTGGGGTTGGACCTGGTACCCCAGGGAGAGCGCTTGCGACGTCACTACCCCGACGCCTTCCAGTCCTAGGCACGACTCGACCATGACATTAGGGTTGGGAGAAGTATAGTACATTGGTATCTCTTTTTACCTTTTGCACCGCAGTATACCCATCACTAAGTGATCGGTATAGTTCACGTCAGAGCCGGTATCGAAACTATTTCTCCCGCCTCTGCGTGATATTGACAGGTACTGCTGCCCTCTGCCAGGTTCCTAGTTATTGTCCTAGTGACGCGCCTTTTCCGCCTACTCCGCCGTATCGATGATCTTCATCTCCGCCTTCGTAGCCGTTGAGGTCTTCACCTGTAACCCTGGGCAAGGATACCGCGATATACCCCGCAGTGCTGGGTCCCTGGCTAGACTTAGCCATCAACATATTTTGGCCTACTAAGATAAGTGATACCCACCCCCGCGGCGCGGACGCGCTAGTCAAGAAGTACCCAAGAAAGATAAAGATCCTACGGTGCGTCATTTTCGTAGTATTTTCCGATTCCAAATCCGACTCTGAGTTCGCGTAATATCACATCGCGCAAGCATACACACAAACGGTAAGAGAAAAACATTTGAGTAATTAAAGAAATAGAAACCAATATTTTAAAAGATACGTCACGCGCGCACACACACACACAGAAGAAGTGTAAATCCAAACATGCAACTTCCACGCGATGTACCTTGAGTAATGCTAATACTGATAATTCTTTTAATTTTCAAGCTTTATTACTCAAAAAGTAATAAAAAAATATTTTATTATATTGTTCTTAAAAGTTCTTAAAATAAGCTATACAAAACATGCAATAAAAAATGGGGGTTCCATAAAAAAAAATTCACTTTAACCTTTATATGACCTTGTAGATTCCACTCAAGATCAACTTCTTATCACCACTAGGTACATTTTTTTCCAGATAGCACACTGATGTTTTAAAAACATATTAAAAACATAGGTATCGGACGTTTTGTACATATTTAAAATGTTTAGATTAGGTTCTCAAACAGTTTTAGGATATTCTAAAGACGTCCAGTGTTACCTTCTTGGACGTTTTAAAATTGTCTATTTTAAGTACAGTCGGCGTCAGTAAATCGTTTTGTGGACGCGGGGAACTAAGGGTAAGAAGGACGGTATTCCCTAGCAGTAAATACTATAATTGATCAATTCATCGAGATCTGCTACAGTTAGTTACTACGGCGCCCGTTGGCAGTACTTACTGCTAGGAAATACCGTCTCTCTTACCCCTAGCCCCCCGAGTCCACGAAACGATTCATTGACGCCGACTGTACATAATGGACTACAAATAAACTTATTTTAAACGTTTTTTTAATTTAAATAGACACATAAGATAGTAACAAATAAATCAAAGTTACATTAAAACTGAATAACATATTTCAGGAGAAAATGAGATCACGGCATTCAGCGATCACTTTAATTACATGAAAGAATGATATCTAATTATAATCTATATTTGGTAGTATACTGAGTTTTTTAACACAAATATATCGCTAAGTACATAATTAGAGATATCATTTCTTAGAATAAACTAGAAGAAAGAAGAGACTTACATAGTAAAAAGATTAATATATATCATGAGACAAAGTGAAAATGATAAAAGCGAATTCATTAGAATATACAATATATCCTTGTCTCGGAATACACAATTCTTAGATCAAAGTCGCGGCTCTCATAATAGGCTTTTGCTTTTCTCGCAAAGGGGCAACGCGCCATTTAAGCGAAGAAACAAAAGAAGGCTTCCATAATAAATCACATTGAAGAGAACGCTTATAAACGAAGAGTCAGTGAACAAAAACAAAACATTAACCGCGTTCAGTAGAACAACTGCTAGATTGTCTTATGAACATTCGACGTTGATTTGTTGGTTCTAAAAGTAAGAGCCAATCACGTTTGATTGCTAAGCAACTTGTTCTGCTAAACGCAACCATTAAAAAAAAAAAATTACATAAGGTTACTAATTCTTTACTTTTAATTTTTACAGTAATGTTAGGTTTAAAAAAGAGATCATCTATATTTTGATCAACACTAAAGACTTTAAAATATATTCAATAAAAAGTTTTGATACACATATTATGATATTTCTTTAGCCTGTTCTACAATACAATCGTAAGCTGTAAGTCGTAAGAAATTGACTAATCACAGATCAATTACAGAAGAATAATTGATTGTGATTGGTCAATTTCTTACGACTGTATTGTAGAACAGGCCTTTTAAGGGCCGTCTACAATGGAGAGTTGTAGGCCGTAATAGTAAGAAATTGACCAATCACAGACAAAGTACAGAAGAATAATCGATTGGTCAATTTCTTACTGTTACGGCCTACAACTCTCCATTGTAGACGGCTCTTAAAGAGAGAGAGCTCTTAAGATTGTGATTGAGGGGTTCTTCTTTTAATTTTAACCAATCACAGTTGATTGCTACTTTGCTGTTCAGTGAGCGGTCGGTGCTTCTGGATGCACTCATAGCCCAAGCAACCAGCTGACGTTGTAATGACGTAAATATACGTGATTTTTGTCACTAATTGGTGATTATGACCTAAATCTGACGTTATTTTGAACGTCATAACAATAACGTCAGTTGAAATAAGTGAGTAAGACGTCATAATGACGTTATTTAAATAACACGGTAGTTAAAAATTTGTTTTTGAGTATATATTTATGTATTATATGTAAGATCCCACATAACACGTAATATTACGAAAATATCACAGTAACATTGCAATATACTAGTAATATTAGATATTATAATACAATATTACAATAATATTATCAATATATTACATTTATACAGGGTGTCCCAGAATTGGTTTAACATCGCTCGTACACAGGTAGAAGGAATAAAACTAAGGTGAAAAGTCCTATACCATTTTGCTAGATTCGCAATAGTTACCGAGATTTTAATTAACAAAGATCCGCGAATAAACGTGCATCGGGCTGTCTTACGCGCGTAGGACAGCCCGGCGCGCTTTACACAATTACATTTTAATATGTATATGTTATAGTATATGTTGTTATATTAGCTCCTCCCATATGTCGCTATGGGTAACAACATTAGCGCGCGAAGCGCGGCGGGCAGTCTTACGCGCGTAAGACAGCCCGATGCATGCTTATTCGCGGAT